AAAGCCCCCACAGTAGTATCGTTGTTTTTAACTCACTATCCCTCTAGTTTTATTGTTGCAGATAGCCCCCTTAGTCAGATTTTTTTTACTATATTATCCTTAGGGATTTTTTATTTTTTATTTTTTTGACAAATAGACCCCTTGAGGGTAAAAGAGTAGAAAATCTCAGGTATGTATCTGTAACAACAATATTATAGGGGTAGTAAATTCAAACCAGCGATACTACAGTCTAACCACAATTAAGCCTTTGTGAAATTTACCAAAAACGAAGTCATAGAGTTGCATATCTACATACCGGGCTACAGTTGGAAGAAGGCTGAGTCTTTCTGCTTCCTACTTCTTCATCGTCGTATCTTTTATTTCCGATCTTGCGTCTTCCCCATGGAAAGAATCTTCGCTTTGAAGATGACTGAAGATGCAGCTCTGGACTTGAACTTACACTGCTGCTGCTTGTACTTGGATTGCTGCTGTTTGTATTTGCTGTTCTTATCCTGTTCTTGCATTCATACGGTTTTTCTGTTTCATCTGTTAACGAAAGCAACTGACTTAGCTCCAAGGAATTTGAGTTGAATGTGCTTGAATCATCAGTTGTTTCCTCCTCCTCTTCTTCCTTGTTCAGAAATGCTGGTGTTTCTGATTTTTTTTCGGGCTTTCTCGTCTCTCTGAAGCTTACATCTACCTGCATTAACAGTTCTGATTAAATTATATTCTCCTGGCGTGCAGAGTGAAATCCTAATGATCAGATTATGTCAATTATTGTGGGGACCAAAGTAAAAGCAACTCATGGATCATGGATAATGCTCAAGATTGACTCCTAATGATCCATAGTCACTTGTAGATGATAAGGGTAAATTTTACGGAACTACAATGAACATTTGCGGGTTTTGGACAAGGTTATAATACATTCTTTTATTAGAGTAGACTATCATGAACTTTTTTTTTAATTAAACCATCATTCTTCAAGTATAGTTTAGATCTTTTATCAAAGCTGCTATTTTTGTTAGCAACAATTTTCAATAGTTCATGATCTTTTTCTATAGATTTGAAACGTCATGATAGTTTTCTCCAATAAAAACCGTTAGTGGTGGTTCTGTGCAAAACCCCCAATATTCATACGGTAGTTTCATGGAATTTGCCCAATGATCATACCAAAATGAAGAGGGGCATCATTAGTGATTCATATGTGAGTATAATCCGAAAGAAGTCGAAAGAGTAATGACTTAAAGACCACATCTGTATACGCTAATTTCGTTTCTATTGTGCAGTAGAAGAATCCGAGGAAACTTACGTGAAGTATAGCCTCCGCGGTCAAGCCATCCTTCACCAAGATAATAGGAACTCGCTTCCTTTGAGCTTGGAACTGGGATTTCTTCTTCGTGGATTGCGAAGCCAGGAACCATTCTGAGAAGCTTACTGTCTCTGTTCCTATCTCTTCAAGCTTCTTTTCCTTCTGCCTTTTCGATTCATCCCTAGTCCCCTGCAGTTCAAGCATACGCCGTATTGACAAATTCACACATTAATTTTTGTAAAATTTGTAATTACAGTCAAACAAACAACTTTGTATATAATTTTTTTTTTTTTTTGACAGGTTCACATTAATTTGTCTATGCTAAGATTTTTCAGCAAATTTTGACATAATCGTCCTGACTTTTGACTCCAAAATACCAATTATAATAACCGCGTGACCACGTCAAGACGAGCCAGCTTGCCAATATATTGCTTGGAGATGTACTCGCTCAAAGCTGACTCGGCAAAACATAATCCTATCTCAATTAGATCCCTGCTTAATTAGCCGGTAAGTATCTTATTTGATAGGCAAACTTTATACATCAATTAATTAACGCGTTAAACAATTCTCACGCCTCTCCTTTTTGACTTTGACCAGTCATAAACAAAGTCAAAATCTCAAATCAAATTAGATCTTTAATTTTATAATAAAATAGGGTAAAATATCACGACCGATGACTGCTAATCTAAGTTTGTCATATGCTTCATACATGATTTGTTTTGGATAAGCGTGTAATTTAGGCCTTTTATCAGTTTTCATATGAGCAAGGATTTTATATAATTTTGAAAACTTAGTAGTTCAAGTAAAAAATGTAGTAGCTAGGAACACTTACATGCGACACACAGAAGGAGACCTCTAAATCCCCACCCGACCCGTAACAGATGCGCCCGAACCCGTTATCCCCCTCGCGGAATTCCGCCACCCCATCAGCCCTCACCGCGGCCTCCCTGGTGAACCCCACCGTCCTCCTCGCCCGTCTTTCGCGCGTCCAAACAGTACGAATCAGCTGCCCCTCTCCACCTCACCGTAAACGCCACGGCCGATCCCTCTCCGAACATCGCCGCACCAAGCCCCTCGACCTTGGCGACCGTCATCGTCGCGTCGAACCTCTCCGTCTTCTTCTCCTTCTTCTTCTTCGTCGATGACGACGACGACGACGGCGCCCACGGCGACCACCTCATCACCTTGCCGACGACCATCGTGGATGAAGAGGAGTACATATACGTTCTTTTGGAGTTCGGGGTCGTTATATTATATATATAAGATGGTTTCCTTGGCTTTGAAGGGCGTTTAGTATCGTAGGGCCCACGTTAACGCGGGGTTGGTTAACTGTTTGTATCTTGAGGGGGGGCTTGCCCGCTGGTCACGCGCGTGAAGCGTGTCGGACGCGTTGCGTTGCGGGGAGCCTCCGCGTGCGGGCTCTGCTTCTAGTTCTTCTTTGCTACGGGGTTCTGATGGAATTAGGATTGACCTTTCCAACCATTCAGTTTTCATTGATCTAGAACTTCTCGATTCCGAGAGTACTTGTTAATTAATGAAGCATGGCCAAATATTTCTTTAAAAAAAAAAAAATCGCTTCAACTACAACATTTTTATATTATAGACACTCTTGACTGCATCCGGGTGGGGTTTATCGATGCAAGAGACTACTTTGCAATCCGGCATCGTTTGGAATTAGATGTCTTAATGACGTATCATTTGGAATTAGAAGTCTTAATGACGGCTGCGCAAATTATTGAGGGAGTAAGGCCTTGTTATAGGTGCTAAGAGTTTTTAATGTTAGGGGCTGTTTGTTTGCTTAAAAAAAGATGGAAATCAAATAATAGGAAATCTATTTCTAAGAAAAATTGTTTTGAGATTGTTTGGTTGGGTAAAAAAAAAAAGAAGGAAATCAAAGGATGAGAGATGAGTTTTCACATTATTATTGGATGATGCGAGTGACTTTTTAAGAAAAATTGTTTTGAGGTTGTTTGGTTGACTAAAAAAATAAGGAAATAAATTATAAGAAACATGTTTCCTGTAATAGGTTCTTTTCTTGTGTTTGGTTCATTCATAAAAATAAGAAAATAGATGAGATGAGATGTAATAGGTTCTTTTCTTGTGTTTGGTTCATTCATAAAAATAAGAAAATAGATGAGATGAGATGAGTTGTTATTATATTATTGGATGATGTGACAAAAATAAGAAAATAGATGAGATGAGATGAGTTGTTATTATATTATTGGATGATGTGACCCACACTTAAGAAAATTGATTTCCTAGCTTTTTTAGAGGAAATTGGTGGAAATGAAATGTTAATGAGATGAAATGAGTTATCACCATATTATTGGATGATGTGAGTTATTTTTAAAGATGAGATGTGATGGAGATGAGATGAGTTGGATGATGTGACATATTTCTTGTGTTTGGTTTATTTTTAGGGTCTGTTTGTTTGTCTAAAAAAAGTGGTAAATCAAAAAATGGAAAACTATTTCTAAGAAGAATTGTTTTGGGAGTGTTTGGTTTGCTAAAAAAGAAGGAAATCTAAGAAATGAAGATGAGATGAGATGAGTTGTCACCTTATTATAGGATGATATGAGTGATTTTTTAAGAAAACTTGTTTTGATGTTGTTTGGTTGGCGAAAAAAATAAGGAAATGAATTATTAGAAACCTATTTCTTGTAATAGGTTGTTTTCTTTTGTTTGGTTCATTCTTAAAATTAAGAAAATAGATGAGATGAGATGAGTTGTCATTATATTATTGGATGATGTGACCCACACTTAAGGAAATTATTTTCCTAGCTTTTTGGGAGGAAATGGGTGGAAATAAAATGTTAATGAGATGAGATGAGTTGTCACCATCTTATTGGATGATGTAAGTGATTTTTAAATATGAGATGAGATGAGTTGAGTGATGTTGTGGATGAAAATAATATTTTATTATAGATGTGCTGGATGTGGTGGATGAGTTGTTGGATGAAAATAATATTTTATTAGATGTGATGGATGAGTTGTTGGATAAAAATAATATTTTATTAGATGTTATGGATGGGTTTTAGAGATGGAAATGGATGAAATTGTACTTTTTGAGTTTTCTTGGTTTTCATTTCTATTTCTTGGTTTTTTAGGAAATAACCAAACATGCCCTTAGGAGATGATATGAGATAAGTTGTGGGATAAAAATAATATTTTGTTGGATGTTATGATGAGTTTTTGGGATGAAAATGGATGAAAATAATATTTTATTAATTTCCATGTACCTTTTTCCTTTTCTTATTTTTAGGAAACCAACCAAACAACCCCTATAGAACTAAGAAGAGAAGAACCAGAGTTTCTAACCGGTGCTCATGAATATCAAATGGACCCTTCCTGATTTGCACTAAATTCACTCTTTACCTGTCTGCTCTCTCTATTCCTTTCATCTCCTATGGACCCTTCCTAATTTGCACTAATTTCACTCATTACCTGTGTGCTCTCTCTATTCCGACAGCTCTCTCTATTCCTTTCATCTCCCATGGACTCTTCCTGATTTACACTAATTTCACTCATTACCTGTCTGCTCTCTCTGTTCCTTTCATCTCCTACGAAGTGCTTGTAAGTGTTGATGGGTACCCATTAGAAAAACCCAAAGGAATTGTGTGATATTCCTCACGGTTTTAGAACATACGCCTTCAGATCATTCAACTCATCACTCAACTATTTTCACGAGCTGTCACCAAAAATCATCAGATAACTGTGCGTGTACAACGACGCATTTGAATTATATATAAAAAAAGGAAAAGATTAAATGGTCGATAAGAGAGCTTGAAGCTAAGGATGAAAGGTCGTACTTCTTTGTTGTTTGAAGGAGGGGATTAAAAACTATGACCTTTTGTTTTCTAAGTTCATGTCCAGTTGCATATAAGATCTCAAACAATGTTGAGGGAAAAAAAACCTAAATATAGAGAAAATAAAAAGTATCCCAGGCTGAATAATGATAAATAACTAGGTCTCTCCAATACTACTCTACGCTACAAGAGAGAAATATGAGCTCAATTGATGAGCCATCTATCTAAAAAAATTAGCTGAAGAGAATGAACCCATACTTTTCCCTCTTCTAGCGTAAAAGCTCCAAAGTTATCTTTATGTACGCAAATATGCTAAAACTTTATTGAAGCCAAAATGAGATCATGCCGATCCCGGACCATGCTCTGTTTAGTTATTTTTTGGATCTTTGAACCTGAAAACAAGACCAATTGCACCATGCGTTGAGAAGTCGAGGAGCTAGAGAAAATTGTTTGATGATGCTACCAGTTCATCTTGTACCAGACATGTCAACTTTTCCATCCAAGAAAGAGAAACTAGTTAGGAAAGCTTGTGAAATCCAGTTTATCTATGATGACACCATCAAGCAGTGGTTTATTCAGTACCAAACTGCCAGATTCTTCTTTGATGATCTATTACAAGGTGGGATAACGGCATATATATAACATAAAAAGGCCAAAAGAACAACAAAATTAAGACCATTAACAGTAACCAAATATAGATACGAACGACTGCGCCATGATACACATCCAAATCTCAGCCCGGAAACAAAATCAAAACATTCATGTCAAAAATATAGAAACCACCCTTTATCATGTTAGCCAAAAATTTTGTTTAGCCAAAATTCAAAAGGATTAGGAGCTAAGAAGTCATTCAGCACATACAACACAATTAACAGCATCATATATCATTTCAGGCCCCAGGGTAACTCACCATTAAAAACTAGTTATTTGAGAGCAAGAAAGTATCCAGTGAGGGTACGGTCTATAGCATTAAATGTGCACACATAGAATATCAACTATTGGTTTAGTACGTGAATCACAAAATCCAATGATCCAAGAGTTGATATCTTTGAATTGATATTTAATGTCACACACCGTCACCACTAGATTAATAATGAGAGAGCAGAATTCCCATCTACAGTCATAAAACCACAGGGGACTCCAACACAAATAATGACAAACGATTAATAGTGTATAATGTCATTCAAGATATACAAGCATAGATATCAAAATAGCGTGTGTTATGTACCCCAAAAATGGCATGTGTTATCTTAGATCATGAAATGGACAAGAACCACCAATTCCATAGTCAAACTGTACTTGTACCCAATAGCCCAACATCCAATATCACAGCACATCAGTTTGCAATCTGGTAAGCTTAGACTTGTTAGCATGGAAATCTATAACATAGCTTCTAATGCGTTGTCTCAACATGTTGGACTGAACCATTCACTCATCTATAAAGGCATGTCAAAGGCCAAGAAGAACTCACCTTTGAAAACTTGCTATCAGACCATAGTCTATTACAAATTGTATATTGCCATATAAACATACTCATTAAAAGCACAAATACTTCTATTCTACAAGATAGTGAATCCGAATCCACACTATCAACTTCTACTAAATCATTAAAAAAACCATGACATAATAATCTTTAAATTCTAGAACTAAACTATTAGTTAAAACTCATGTAAATATCCGCTAAAAGCATCTCCAACCTAAAAACCCAAAATGATGTAGTTTTTACACCAAGTTGGTGTAGTTTTTACACCAAATTACTATTCTATTTCCAACCCATTTATTCCAAATTTTACACCAAAAAGAATATTCCTTTTATTATTCTTATCTTTTAACATTTTTATCTATTTAAAATATTCAACAAATTATATAATTATGAAATTTTAAGTGTAAGTTTTTCTTATCTAAATGTAAGTTTTTCTTATTTCTTCATTTGGTTCTAGTATTTTGAAATTTTAAGTGTTCGGATTAAATAATCTATTTTTTCCTTTTTGAATTTTATTTTAATAATTATTTTATACTCTAATTTCATTATAATAGTTAATATAAATTATATATATTATTAATACAAATATAAAAAACAAAAGCAAAAATATTTTCCTCTGGAGCTAATCTTCAAATTCAGGGTCTGCAATGCCTTTATCCTTGCCAGTTGTATGATCTGCGAGTGGATTCAGAAACAATAGGGGTGAGCCTAAGGCCCAATAGGTAACCATAAAAAATCTCGGGTACAATCCAAGGGAACGGATAAAAATGATAGACATAGATATCAAACTTGAACAACGGGGTCTCAACATTAAGTTGCCATTCTTATATCGTAATCATTGACCGAAGTGAAATAACATGTAAAGATGAATAATCAAGGTCTAATATTCAGGATTCCAAACTCCCCAATC